TAAGTAACAGTTGCTTCTCTAAGCAACAGTTGCTTCTCTAAGTAACAGTTGCTTCTTTAAGTAACAGTTGCTTCTTTAAGCAACAGTTGCTTCTCTAAGTAACAGTTGCTTCTCTATGGTCATTGGTGGTTTGAGGCTGCAGCCCAGAGTCTACAGGAATAATTTCTTAGGAATATTTGACCTCAACTCGAAGTTGGAACTTGTCAAAATGCTGCTGATCTTGATCTTTGGGCTTTTATCCATCCATCAATTATATTTTACTCGCTTCTTCTTTCTTCTTCTTTTTTCCGCTGCTCCGTTCATCAGGGGTCACCACAGCGAGCTGAGTCGCATGAAGACTTGGTGATAGTTTTTACGCCGGATGCCCTTACTGACACAACCATGGCCCGCTGAGCTACCACAGCCCTCTGTGTGGGGCTGGGGGCTGCTATCTAGGGCGACGAGGAGCAGATGGTGGGGTTAAGGGCCTTGCTCAAGGGCTCAGAGTGGGGCAAATGAGGATGGAGGCAGTTGTGGGTGTTTCACCTTTCCCACCCACATTTCGATATTGTTGGTACGGGGAGTTGAACCGGCAATCACCGGCGCACCTTCTCTAACCTCTGCGCCACCACTCTCCCTCTAAATCTAAATCTTCTAAAGATGAAAAACAAAAACCCAAACGTGACAGAGGAGGTCTGCCGTGATCAGAAAATGTCTCTCTTCTCCCCCGAGTCAAAAACGTTTCAAGCTTGTTTAAATGTTTAATTCTTGTATTTACAGATCCCCCTGAACCTGCCGTGCTCCGTCACCCTGCAGCCAGGACCAGAGGACACTGGGAAGGTTTCCTCTTTGTGTTTACTGCAGGATTATTACCGCTCTGTCGGTGTGAAAGTAGGTTTGGTCCAAACTGAGCGTGTGGTTGTGTCGCTGTTCTCAGGCCTGCGGAGTCGACTTCGAGGTGAAAGCTTTCTGCGCTGAAAACGTGGAGGAAAAGATCCACAAAAGGTAAAAGTGCGTCAGCCGCACTCTGATCCACTGTGTCAGGAACAAACAATAGTTATGGATGAAAGTGAGCCCAGCTGAGCATCAGCAGCAGAACGAGGACTGAAGTAAATCAAACCCCATGAATCTGTGACAGGTCCTGACTGGACTGGACCGTAACCAGCGTGCTGTCGTTGCAGGAACTCGGTGCGTCTGGTGATCAGGAAGGTGCAGTACGCTCCGGAGAAACCGGGTCCTCAGCCCACAGCCGAGACCACCAGACAGTTTCTGATGTCAGACAAACCTCTGCACCTGGAGGCCTCTCTGGACAAGGAGGTAACACCCGAGAGACCAAAACACACCTGGACACCAGAGTACACAGAGACCACGATCCTGGTCCTGGAGGGCCACTATCCTGCATGTTTAGTTGTTTCCCTGCTCTTCAGCAGGTCTTCAAGTTCTACAGAGGCCTGTTAATCATTCCTTCAGTCAAATCAGGTGTGTCGAAACAGAGAAAGATCACAAACATGCAGGATAGTGGTCTACCAGGACCAGGACTACACACTACTGATCTACAGCTTGGTGCTAAATGACATCAATAAAACCCATCTGATCTGACAAAGTTTCAATCCCCAAAACTTATTTATTTAAGCAAAAACCAACTTGTGGTGGTCTAATTGTTTTAATGATGTAAAATTTATTCTGAACACTGAATAAAACTTCAGAGTCCCGGGAAAAGGAAAGTTTGTCGTCTTTCACATTAAGGATTTATGAATCGGACCTGATCCAACTGATTTTTTTTTTTAAACTGATCTGGTCTTTATCAGGTTCTAAAACAATTCCAGTTGAACATCAAATGAACCAAAACGGCAGGTTCCACTGAGTCATTTATTAATCAAAACACTGATCCAGAACCCCCCTCAGCAGCAGAACTCTGTAGTTTTCTCCATCAGTCTCTCTCATGGTTGTGGAGGAGTTTCGGCCCACTCTTCTATTCAGCGTTGCTTCAGTTCATTGAGGTTTCTGCTCAGCTCTCTGAAGATCACACCAGGTTGAGGTTCTGCACTCTGACTGGACTGTTGCAGCACCTTGATTCTTCTCTTTTTGACCCGTTCTGCTGTAGATTAGCTGGTGTGTTTAAGTTCATGGTCCTGTTGGACCCAGTTTGGTCCAAGTGTCAGCTGTTGAACATATGGACTAATTTTTAACTCCAGAACCCTTTGGACTACAAGGAGCCCAAACCATCAAACCTCCACCACTGTGCTTGATTGTGTTTCAGCTAATGTCTGCATTCAAGCAATAACTTTCACTAAAATGTAGATTTTTCCTTCAATCTGTCAGATTATTTGTCTGTTTGCAGACGACTCAGTGGTTTATATCTGCACTGATCCTAAACTCCAGCTGTGTTTTGTTTACAGAGACATAAAGACAAGAGCTCACTGGGTGAATGGATCATATTTAACAAAAATTAAACATTTGGTGTTTTTATTTAATTAATTTATTAATTTATTTACATACTTATATATTTATTGATTTATGTATTTATTTATTTATTTATTTAATTGGATGGCTGGAAAGATTCCTTGTTTTTGAATCTATTTTAAGTCCAGAAGTTTTAATTTTCACAATATTTGTGTAAAATGATCCAATTCTATTTTTCTTTCTCGATGCTAACTTCAGTTTGTTTGAAAAAACAAAGGGAGAATCTTGATTATATTACTGTTAAAAATATTTTACATTTGCACGGTGGTGCAACTGGTAGAGCTGCTACCTCTCAGCGAGCAGGTCCCTGGTTCAAATCCCGGTCCGGGGGCCTTTCTGAGTGGAGTTTGCATGTTCTCTCCGTGCATGCGTGGGTTTCCTCTGGGTGCTCCGGTTTCCTCCCACAGTCCTAAAACATGCATGTTAGGCTGATTGGTAACTCTAAATTGTCCCTAGGTGTGAGTGAGAGAGAGAGTGAATGGTTGTTTGTCTTGTTTGTCTCTATGTGTCCCTGTGATGGACTTGCGACCCGTCCAGGGTGCCCCCCGCCCCTCACACAGTGATTGCTGGACATGGGCACCGGCGACCCCCGTGACCCAAAATGGAAGAAGCGGGTAAAAGATAATGGATGGATGGATGGAAGGATGGAATATATCACCAGTTTGTGTGTAGTGTTGGGTGTTTGTATTTGCAGCTGGTGTTTGCTGCAGTGCATTCTGGGTAAAGATCTGTCCTTTGGTCTGGATCCGAACTGTAATTCTCACACAACAAATCTCGTTTCGTAATGTCTCATACATTCTGTCTCAGATTTATTACCACGGGGAGCCCATCAGCGTCAACGTTCACGTCACCAACAACACCAATAAGACGGTGAAGAAGATGAAGATCTCAGGTGTGTGGTTGTGCTGTTTTCTGTGTGTGTGTGCAGCGGTTGTGTTGGCTGATTTAACTCTGGTTTGTGTGTCTGCAGTGCGACAATATGCAGACATCTGCCTCTTCAACACGGCTCAGTACAAATGTCCAGTGGCCGTCGAGGAGTCAGAGTAAGTTTCATTCACTTCAAACAAACAAACAGAATGATGTCCAGGATGTTACAAGAACAAGAAAAAAATGGCTGACAAACACTAATTTGGTCATTAGTGTCCACAAAACCCCAAATCTTCCTAAAAGCCCCAATAAAAACATCTATTTCTCCCAATAAAAACACATTAGGTGTAAGACTGGTACGGAAAGTTTTATGCTTTAAAAAACAACAACTTTTATTTCTTGTGGAAATCTAAAAATTCTCACCTAAAACAGGACTTGAACACCAATACAAATATTTCTGTCTCCTCAGTGACGTCGTTGCGCCCAGCTCGACCTTCTGCAAGGTCTTCACCCTCACTCCCTTCCTGGCCAACAACCGGGAGAAGCGAGGCCTCGCCCTGGATGGAAAACTGAAGCACGAGGACACCAACCTGGCCTCGAGCACGCTGTGAGTCCCGACGCGCTCACGATGCCTTCACTGACACTCAGATTTGTTGATGTCTGACTGTGCGTTCTGTCTCCTGAACAGCCTGAGAGAAGGAGCCAACAGGGAGATCCTCGGAATCATCGTGTCTTACAAAGTGAAAGTGAAGCTGGTCGTGTCACGAGGCGGGTCAGTACCTTCTAATAAACTTTTCATTCCTCCAGCGTGACCTTTGATCTTTCAAGAAGGACTGATTTTGCAGTGGGTCACAAAAGTATTCATACCCTATTTTGTTGTCTTACAATCTGGAATTTAGGTTTATACTTAAATAAATTTACATAAAATACTCCAGATTACTGAACAAATGTTCGCAGAAGTTTAGAGTTTTTTGTCTCAGCAGCTCGGGATGATGGGGTCTGGTTCAGAGGTTTAGGATCTGATGGTTTAGGATCAGGATGTTCAGGATGAGGGGGTCTGGATCTGAGTTTTAGATTCAGCTCTGTAACCTGAAGCACTTCACCCCCAGAGATCTGGATTTACTGATTCTAAATCCTGATTGGCCTGAGGATGTTTAAAGAACAACAAACCCAGACAGCATTACTGGGCCATTCAGAACATTTGAGCAGGCATTTAATGACTGCATCGATAGAAATGATGGATCTGTTGTCCTCTGAAGCTCATGGTGTTAAATATTTATTGATTTCAGGCTCCTCGGAGATCTGGCTGCCAGGTAACCTTTCACGCTCCGCCGCAGATGAAAACCACACGCTGAGATTTACAAAGGTCACCTGAACGTCTCACAGCACAGCTTTCCAAAGGGTGGCAGTGGACCTCCCCCACATAAATACACCAGTTTAATGACTCACGTTGTGTTTTATGACCTGTGATGAATCTGTTTTTCAGTGACGTCTCTGTTGAGCTGCCTTTCACATTAATGCACCCAAAACCACCGGAGGAATCCTTCTACCGAGACCGTGAGTCCCTTTCATCTCTCAACATGCTGCTGAGATAAAACCATCATTTCAGTCAAAAACTACAGAAGATCTGGATTAAAACTCTTGAATCACTTTCACCTGAAGCGGAGTCTCTTTTGGTTATTTTTTTCAAGTCTAGAAACAGTGATAGTTTAGGGTTTAGAGTGAAACAATGACAAAGAGTGAAATAGTGATGAGGAATGATGTAGAGTGAAACCATGATAAGGAGTGAAACAGTGTTAAGGAGTGACGAGAGTGATGAAGACAGAAACAGTGAAATGGAGTGAAAAAGTGACACAGAGTGAAACAGTGATGGGGTGATGTAGAGTGAAACATGATGAAGAGTGAAGCAGTGATAAAGAGTGACAAGAGTGATGAAGTGAGAAACCGTGAAAAGGAGTGAAAAGTGACAAAGAGTGAAACAGTGATGAGGAGTTATGTAGAGTGAAATGTGATGAAAGAGTGAAGCAGTGATGGGGAGTGACGAGTGACAAAGAGAGAAACAGTGAAAAGGAGTGAAACAGTGCCAATGAGTGAAACAGTGATGAGTGATGTAGTGAGAAATTGCGACGAGGAGTGATGTCGAGTGAAACGGTGATGAGAAATAAAACAATGATGAGCAGTGAAACTGTGACAAGTGAAACAGTGATGATTTTAAGACTGAGAGTGATCAAGAGTGAAACAGTGACTAAGGGTGATAATGTGATGAGGAATGACGTAGAGTGAAACAGATACAAAGAGTGAAACTGTGATAAAGAGTGAAACAGTGATGAGGAGTGAAACTGTGATGAGGAGTGAAACAGTGATGAGGAGTGAAACAGTGATGAAGAGTGAAACAGTGACAACGAGCGATAAAGAGGAAAATGATTAGGAGTTATAAAGAGAGAAACAACGATGATACAGTGATAAGGAGTCATAAAGAGTGATGGGGGTGATAAAGAGTGAAACAGTGATGAAAAGTGAATTAGTGATGAGGAGTGAAACAGTGACAGAGTGATAGATAGAGGAAAAATGATGAGTTATAAAGAGAGAAACAATGATGATGAGTGATACAGTGATAAGGAGTCATAAAGAGTGATGAGGGGTGATAGAATAGAATAGAAACAGCCTTTATTGTCCCACGGATGAGAAATTCAAGTGTAAAGAGTGATGTCATAAAGAGCGATGAAGAGTAATGAAGAGAGAAACAGTGACACAGTATGGAGGTAAATAATGATGAGGAGTGATACAGTGAGACAGAGTGATAATGAGTGCTAATGAGTGATAAAGAGTGATGTGGAGTGATATAGTGATGTGAACACCAGCAGCTTCTCGCTCTGACCTTTTCAACCTTCCTCTCGTCTCTTCCTCCCACAGCTCCAGATGAAGCTCCGATCGACACAAACCTGATTGAGTTTGACACAAAGTAAGCAGCCGTTTTCTCTGTTCTTCCTCCTGTCTCTCCTCTTCATCAGCTGCTGGGCGGCTTCAGTCAGCGCTGGCAGCGGAGAGGGTTTCCTCTCCGCCTGTCGGAGCATTAACAGCGATGAAGCCGTCTCCTGAGCCTCAGCCCTAATGCATCTTAATGTGTGCTGCTGAGAGAGCGGCAGGAAATGGGCTTTAAACTGGAAACTCTTCCTGCTGTCAGCAGCCACTTTACATTTTACAGATTAGCATCATGCCTGAAGCACAACGATCAGGGCTTCATTCACCAGCTGCAGCAATTAAAGGAACAACAAGGAGCCTCAACTGGTTTCCATTCAGACTGTTTCACTGAAATCATTTCATCTTTACAGCTGGTTTGGTTTCAAAGCAAACATTTTCTTTTTTATCTGAACAAACTCTGACTCAGAGGGTTAATAACTTCAAGAAGTCTGCAGAAGAATTTATAGTTTGATGAATGTATCACTCCAATTCCTAATAAGCTCTGCTGTGTAAAATGTCAATACAAACATAAAGAAATGATTTGCAAATCTCATAAACCATTTATTCACAAGGTAACATAGTAAACATATCAAAATGTTGGAACTTCAAAAACGGCAACACACAAAAAAAAAAGTTCATTTAGAATCTGATGCCTTCAACACGTCTGTTTTGAAGTTGTTCCAGGTCCATGTGAAGCATCTCATCTTCTTTGAACAACAGCCTGCAAACATTCAGGACCTGAGAAGACCGTCGAAGGTTTTGGAGGACATGAGGAGACCAGTTGTTGGAGGTTTTGGAGAACCTGAGGAGACAGTT